TTTTGAACCTTAAACCGCATAAACACATTTCATTACACCAAATACACAAAATACTGTTCTTTTTAGCAGCATCATATGACCCCTTTATTTTTATTTTTCTAATTTCATTTAAATTCATATTTCCAATTACATTCTAGTTAGTTTTAGTAATTTTTTTGTCGTTTTTATTAAATTAAATTATTCATTTTATTACATTTCATTTTTAATATTTTCTGCTTTTATATTAATTTTAGTTTAATTTTATTGACTTTGTTGTGTTTTTGTCATTTTATTAGTTACGTTTTTAATGTCTATACAGTTTATATAATTTTTTTATTTCAGTTTTAGTTATTTTAGTACATTTCATTTTTATATCCTCTGCTTTCATTTTATTTTAAAGTTCTAATAATTCTATATTTTGCCTTTTTCATTTTATTTTTTTATACGTCTATATAGTTTTTAATTTCAGTTTTTGTTTTAGTTATTTTAGTACATCAAGATAAACTAAATGAAAATGAGAAATGCTGGCTTGGAAACTAGCTTAAATAAAATACATTTAGGTTTTTAAAAAGTTTTTTTTTTCCGTTTCGTTAAGTTAACAATAATAACGCTGGTGTAAAGATGGGAACAAAGAACCAAAGTAAAGGCGAGAGAGTTTATTGCACCGTTTACGGTGCAGTATTTCATTGCTCTATTATTCAAAACCACTCAATATACTAAATGCACCTGGCTAAAATACTGTATGTAAATGAGGCTGTTTAAAAATGCACTTATTCTGAAAGTAGTGCTAAAGGACATTTCATTTTACAGAGATGGTATGGAAGTTTTCTATTGATCATGATGGCAGTAACTAATCAAATGATGGAGAAGAGAGCAGCGCGTTTGGATATCTGCCCGGTTAAAACACAGTCGAGTGCCATAGAAGCCAATTAACAGTCACAACACGAGCCAAAAATTAATTACCCATAATTAAATAAACTCACATCTCTGAGTGGGTCACATACAGGTCACAAAAGTTGAAGGATGTGACACGGGATAAACACACAGATTTGCCTTTCAGTGAATACTGCACTTTAGGAGACTTTGCTTTTCCAATTTTGGGTGAAATACTGCTTTAAGAAGCAGAGAGTTGTGTGTGTGTGTGTGTGTGTGTGTGTTTCTCACCACGTCCTTCCTGTAAAGCACCTCCAGGATGTTGCTGAGCAGTTGGCAGCAGGAGTCCAGCTCCTCATGATTCTCCAGGTGAAGTTTGAGCTGCTCCGTCATCAAAGGAAGGAGGAAGGA